TTTTGTTACTCTGTTGAAAATGGTTTTCCAATTCAACCCAAAGATCATGTGGTGTATCACAATAGATGAGGCTCCTTGTAAGAGAACGGTCGATCGAATGAAGAAGTCAAGACATAATCATATCACAACATCGATCCCAAAGAAGGGCGGTGGTATCATCTTTTGGACGTTCGATGGTGCCGAGGACAAAATCGAGTTTATTTTTAGAATTCAGGGCTCTGGTAATGGCACGACGCCAAGCAGGGTAGTTATCACCATTGAGGGGTGCATCTACGAGGGTTTGGTTCGGTTGGTTTGAAGATTGTAAGAAATAAGGAGATGCAGCATCTGTGTTGAATTTTGCAGCAGGGACAGGATGAGCATCAGCCATAGAGAAGGTATGAAATGGCCAGACCTAAAGCTCTGATACCATGTTAGATTTTGGTATTGAATGAAGTAATTCTCATTAAGTTTGAATGAAGATACATCTTGATTTTATATTACACGGGAAAATAAAACCTAAGCTAAAATAGGAATGAAGAATATTTACAATTGGAGAATAAGGAAATAAGATCCCTCAATATATTATTGCTAATATTTGGCTTGAAGCTTTACATGAGAATTAGACATAAAAAATTATTGTATGAGTGTATGACCGGATATAGGATTAGCACTGGCCAAATGAATGCGATGCAAATTTCTGGATGTAAAAATATCTTTGGAAGCTAGGAAAGAGATTAGGCACATAAATTTTCTTATTTATTTTTGGAATAATGCAAAAGATGGAAATACATGTGGTGGTGGTGGTGGTGGTGGTGGAAGAAAGCGATTTTTATTAAAATAATTTATTTGAAATTCGTTTGTACTATTTAAAAAAAAAATTGGAAGTATGGTGCAATTGGTTTTTTTTTATTTTTGTTTTGTTTTATTTAAATACATGGGTATATTTGTTATTTCAAAGTTTTTTATAGGGAAATTGGATGAAAATGATGATTTTGGTGATGAAAGGTTTAAATATGAGTGAAAATGTAAAAAAAATGAAATGTGAGGAATGTTTTACAGAATGAACTTCGAACGTAGGGACGTTTTGAGCTAATAATCCCAAAATAATACGTGATTTATGTTAGAATTTAATTATCAATTACTTGACTTGCCATATTAAGAAACTCTACAAGCATAATTGAAAAAGCACAATTAACAAAATAAATAAACTAAAATTGTTTAACTAAATTAGTTAATTATTCTAATTTGTTTAGAAAAAAATTAATAAAATTTAATTAATTCAATATAAAAAATTTAAAAAATTATTTAGATTCGATTTTTATTCGATTTTTCGATTCTTAGTCTAGAATCGAGAATCAAACACATCGGTTCTCAATTTAGATATTCATTCGGGTGTTTAATTTATGAAGAACCACTCGATTCGGTTCGGTTCGATCCGATTCAATTCGAAAATTTTGTTCAACCCTAGTCATATCATCTATTGGTAAATAAATTTATAAATTGTGATGTACATATAACATAATCACTTAGGGTGTGTTTGAACCACATTATTTTGGAAGAATGTATTCTGGAATAGTAGATTGATGGAGAATTTGTGGTTGAAAAAGAATAAAAAGTTATTGATGTGATGTAAAATATTATTTTATTGAAGAATATATTGTTAAAAATGAGTAGAAGAATGAGAATGAAATTTTTAATGTTTACCAAACAATGGCTTAATGTTTGTGACACTCTAGCAACTAAATATTTGTGGTCCGCTTGATAGAATGATAAGATGAACTTTTGACTCATTTGTGGACAATTTAGATCCTCTAAATAATAGGGTTATTAGCACAAAACGTTTCCACGTTTGAAGTTTATTGTGCAAAAGGTCACCACCTTTTTTTTTTTTTTACATTTTCACCCATATTTACACATTTGATTGCTAAAATCATCAATTTTCATCTAATTTCTCATTTAATACTAATGACAAATATACCCTTGTATTTAAATAAAAAAAATAAAAAAAATTAATTGTACCATACTTCCTATTTTTTAAAAAATACAAACGAATCCCAAATAAATTATGAAAAAAAAATAACTTTCTCGTTCCTCCCACCACCACCGCCACACTCGATTTCAAATCCAAAGATTCGATTCCACATGCCACACTATCGCTCCTGCCTCCAGTTCTAGAACACGAAAAGCTAGAATCACGATCGATGATTCTATAGCATAATCGCCGTTGATTTCAGAGCATGCAAAATCTGAAGTGCAAAATTGCTGAAAGAAAGCAAGAGAGTTGAAATTGATACTATCCTATCTTAGGCCATAAAGAAAAGGGAAGTCAAATGGTTAGAGGATGTACTAAAGAAATACTTAGAGGATGAAATTTTCCCCAAGTTCAGGCAAAACCCCATTTCGTGCCTCTTCCTCGCTCTCATGTTCCTCGGACCCGGAGGTTAAGCTTAAGATGTTTGAGTAACTATATATTTCTTAATTTTAAATTACATGCTCATTTTTCGAAAATTTTGCAGGTGATATTGGAAGGTTAGGTATGTAAACGGGTTGAAATTTCTGTGGGGAAAACGTGAGGAAAAAGGAAATTGAGATACCTAAATATGTGTATGAAGATGAGGAAGAAATGGAGTATCGTTCACCCACCTTGGATTATGGGATGGAGAGTGATCACCCAAGATTACATGGACTCCAATTCTTGACCAATATTAGAAAAAAAAGTGCATATATATTTTGGGGATTGTTCCATTTTACCTTTGGCTTGAAGCTTTACATGAGAATTAGACATAAAAAATTATTGTACGAGTGTATGACCGGATATACGATTAGCACCGGCCAAATGAATGCGATGCAAATTTCTGAAAGTAAAAACATCTTTGGAAGCTAGGAAAGAGATTAGGCACATAAATTTTCTTATTTATTTTTGGAATAATGCAAAAGATGGGGGGCGGGGAGGAAGAAAGCGATTTTTTTTTAAAAATAATTTATTTGAAATTTATTTGTACTATTTTGAAAAAAAATTGGAAGTATGGTGCAATTGGTTTTTTTTAATTATTTAAATACATGGGTATATTTGTTATTTCAAAGTTTTTTTTATAGTGAAATTGGATGAAAATGATGATTTCGGTGATGAAATGTTTAAATAGGAGTGAAAACGCAAAAAAAATGAAATGTGGGGGATGTTTTACAGAATGAACTTCGAACGTATGGACGTTTGGCCTAATAACCTCAAAATAATACGTGATTTATGTTAGGTCAATAATAATTATTAAAAATGTAACTATATTTATATAATAATATTTAATTACGATACCTTGGTCATAAAGTGGACACATTCTTCTAGAGATTCCCAATTTTGACCAAGCAAGTTATTGTGGGCTTATTTGAGAAGTTGTCCATTAATGAAACCATATCCATTGACTTTATAGTCCAAAAGGAACAACTATAAATTTTCTAGGAAGCTTCCTTTGTGGAATTTCAACAATTTTTTGAAGAAAAAAATTTGCAATCCCATTGGAACAAATGTTTTTGCACAATCAAAAAATCAAATAATTAATGGATTGTATGAACAAAGAAACATTAACATATATGCGTAGACTACTCTCCAAAAAAATAAAAAATAATTAAATATCAATATGCACATTATTTTTATAAATAAAGCTTTCATTAGAAGAAACAATTATCTTTTTTAAGTCGAATATGCAAAATCTTAAATGCTTGTTTGGTTTATGTTTCAAATTTTAGTTCATTTTCAATTTTCTGTTTTGAAGATATATTTTAAGATTGTTGAAAATGTGTTCAATTTACCATTCTAAAAAATTATTTCTCAAAACAGAAAATTGAAAACCCTCGTTTAATTTGAAATATTGAGAAATTATTTCATGATATTTTATTTTTTAGTAAAATAGAATAATTTTATAATAATATATTATTAAGTAGGATATATATTTTTAAAAGTTGTGGATCTTACAATATTTTTTTCTGGTACAAAAGTAAATACAAACAAGTAACGAGGATTGAGAAATTTTCTTTATTTTCATATAAAGATTTTATTTTTTGAATTTTAAAATTAAGTTTTATAAAATTTTAGATTTTATGTTTTAAGAATTTTTATTTTCATTTAAAGAAAGTTTTATTAAAACAACTATTTCTCTTATTTCAAGCATTATCACTAAAAATACTAAAAAGTTCAAAGATGGTTTGAATTTTATGTTATAAGTTTAACATTATTTTCGAAAATATATTTTTAAAAATACAAGATCAAACATGTTTACGGTATTTTACAAAATTGAAAACGAAAAAACAATTTGAAAATATCAAATCAAATGCACTCTAAAATTTTCTTAAATTCAATATTCAAATATCATGTAAATGCAAAATCGAATAAGCATGTTTGGGTGGGCTAAAATGCCAGCGCACTTTTGAAAAAAATGTATTACCTACTTGATTCAAGACCAATGGCAAGATTCAACAAGTCAATGTCTTCCTCCCATAAGATTTGTCTGCCCTTCATCTTCTATATGTATTCATTGCCCCCTTCTACCGCCATTACCAAATTAAAAATCTATCCTCTCTTCAAAGTTTAGGGCAAAATGATGGACAGAGATGAAGGGGAATTTCAGTTTTTTGGGTTCTTGGACATCTTCAAAGAATCATTCATCATAATTTCATCATGGATCAAGATTTTCAGCCAAATAACAATAGCCATGATCCTCCCTCTTTCGTTAATCTACTTGGGCCATATTCAAATCTCACATATTCTCTTTTCACACATCATGTTCCATGAATATATTCTTAATAGAATCCCAAAGGGCACCCGTTCATACGATAAAATTTCAGATATTTTATCCTCTGAATTGACTGTTTTTTTTCTTTTCAAAGTTGGGTATTTCATTTTCTTTCTAATTCTTGCCCTTCTTTCAACCTCTGCAGTTGTTTATACAATTGCATCCATATACACTGCAAATGAAATTAATCTTAAAAAAGTTATTAAGGTAGTCCCAAAGGTTTGGAAAAGGCTTATGGTTACATTCATATGGAATTTTCTCATAGTTTTTGCATACAATATTGTGTCTATATTGATATTCATTTTGTGGGCTCTTCTGTTTGGATCAATAAAATTTGTGGGTCCAATTATTTTAATTTCTCTTGCTGTGATTTACCTGAGTGGATTTGTTTACATCAGTATAATTTGGCATTTGGCAAGTGTGGTTTCAGTTTTGGAAGAATTTTATGGGCTAAATGCAGTGACCAAGAGCCAAGGTTTGATCAGGGGAAAAACAGGCATATCTGCTGCAACTTTTCTTGTACTCATCCTAATTTTCTTTGGAATTCAGCTGGGATTTGAGTATTTTGTGGTTCTTGGATTTGGAGGTGGGGTCGCCTCCAGAATTTTGTATGGAATACTTTTTGTTGTGCTTATTTGTGCACTTTTTCTTTTTGGGCTTGTGATTCAGACAATTATATATTTTGTCTGTAAATCTTATCATCATGAGAGAATTGATAAGCCCACATTAGCAGATCATCTTGGAGGTTATCTTGGAGACTATGTTCCTTTGAAGACTAAGGATGTACAACTTGGAGAATTTGAAGCTTGAAAATTAAACTAGTTGCTTTGTTTTGTTAGTTCTATGTAGTAATTCCAGCTTCGATAGTGTAGATTTTAAGTCTTCGTGCTTAAAAGCTCATAGTTGGACTTTGGTGTGCACCAGTTATGTGGTTCCTTCTGCTGGCAATGGACTCTTGGTCTTAATTGGCGGGTTATGCCTTTGGAGCTGTCCTTGTAGACATGGTAGTTTTGATTAGTTAGAAGATTAGTAATGGAAATATCTTGATTCCTATGATTTTCCAAGTGATTAAGAAATCGTTGTTGTTTGATTGTGTAATTGCAATGGAATGGATGAAATTGGAAGAATTTTCCATTGAAACTCGTGTCGGTGGTTCAGACTTTGCAATTTAAAAAATTTCTTGGACAAGTTTGAGACATTAGATTAGGCAAAATTGAATAAATTGAGGACATGTTTGGTACGGCTCAAAATCCAATTAAAATTGAAAATATAGCCGTTATTGGGTCTCACTCATCTAATAAAAGTCAACAATAACGGCTAGTTTTTCAATTTTAATCCGATTTTAATCTCTACCAAACACGCTCTGAGGGACAAAGGCTGTGACAATTTATTGTTATTTTTTTTTCATGCTTTATTGAGTTTAGCTTATTGAACACATCATTTATGTATCTAAAGTTGCGTATTTTGGATGTGTAAAAACAATTATTATTGTTGTTGTTATTTTAAATTGTTGGGTACATCGGAAAGAAATCAGTAGTTTCGATTTCTGAAAAAAATAACTTGTTTATATATGTAAGAAGCAAAAGTTCGTATATACATATCAAGAACTTGATTTGAATTCACTAAGGAAAAAAAAGGGGCGAACTTCTGATTCTCTTTTATGATTCGTTCAAGAAAGGACCATGCATTTGGAGGAACTTATATTCTTGAAAGGATAACGATCTTTTATGATTCTGCCATATGTCTTTTACAGTCCGTCGAATTTATGAACTACAATGAAACCTTTGGATTCTTAGTCCACATGGATCCGAGTAATTTGGGCAACATTCTTGCCATAGTTTTAATCCTCCCGCTGCACTGGCTATGAAGCAGCAATAACAACTGAGTTAAAACTCCAGCACAAATGGCTTCTTCTCCAGCACTTCTTGATTCAAAATAAATAACCAGTAATGAATTTACTGCGCTTTCACTCCCTTCATGGTGAGATGAAACTCTGCCAACCATTTTGACAATTGCATCAATGCCTAAGTGGTGATTAATTATTGCCCGTTTTGCACTTTCTTTCTACTGACAAAAGCAATTTCAGAATTGTTTATATTTGCCATTGGTGCCGAGCTTTTTTCTTGCTTCTTGCCATCGAAAATGAATGTTATGATCACTTGAATGGCACTTTGTTTAACCACTAGGTGCAAGCAACGTGCAATGCACGTTTGCTTAGTTTATATTTAATATTTTTATTTAATAATTAATTTGTTATTAATAAAGATGTAATTTTT